AATTTCTGTCTTGAGGTTGAAGCTAATAAACGCAACAGAACTGTAATTGCGTTGTCTCTTGGAGTTCTTTGGGCTGAACCTGACGTCAATTTCACCAGACTCAACCCTAGTTCCCAAGCCAGCCCGCCACAACACCATGAATTCCTTAGGGAGGTGCCAGCCTCATCTTCTTTAACTTCCCACGCTCCTGTTGGGGGCTAAGAACACGCTTATCTCCCTGAGCCTGGCCTTCATAAGTCCATTCCATCACACTTATATATAAATAACCATCTGCAATCTCACTGAAGGGCAGAAATAGGTATAGAATCATTGCCTCATACTTACTGATCTCAACCACCCTCTTGCATATCAGCCGTTCTTGGATTTACCATCTTTCCCATTCTTATTTCTGCATGAGAGGGGGCCCATTTTGTTCTTAACTGAAAAGAAGATCCATGACAGGTGTTGGGAGAAGTTGTTGAAAATCTTACACTGGAGCACTTTTTGAAGGACCCCTGGCCCATCACCGTAACGGTGTAACAATTCCATTTACTATCTTCCTGAATGTGGCAAATTATTAACTACACAAATCTGGAGAGGAAGGCAAAGTCTCAGTTTTTCAAGCTGTTTTTCCTTGCAACCTTATTTGTTTGGTATTCATTCACCCTTTTAAATTAGCAAGGGTGAAATGGCTGGAGAACAGGAGGTAACTTGAAGAGGCAAAGGCCACTATAATTTTAGCATAACACAATGTCTTCCCCAACCTGGTACCCTCCAGATGGGCTAGGATTACCGCTCCCAGAACTCCAATCAGAGGGACCTGCAATTCTAGGAGCTGTAGTTCTGACACTTCTGAAAGGGTTCAGGTTGGAGAAGGCTAGCCTAGCATATACATCCTTATTTGTTGAAGAAGCAAAAAGTAAATTGAGTCTATAGCATACTCCATTTATTTAGAGTCCTACCGCTAGTCAACATTGGGCTATAGGTATAAGCAGAAGTATACCAAGAAGTTGGAACAAAAGAGTGCATCAAATCCCACTCCTGTGGAAACGCCATTGACTCAGGAAACTCTAAATGTGAACAGGAAGTCATTTTTGTAGCCCTTTCTGCCCAGCAAAACTCAGTGGGCAGATCATGAACGGATATTCCCAGGTAGAAGTTTCCATCATGTAATTCTGATGGGTTAATACACCAAGGATTCCCGACTGAAACCTCAGAAGCTCACTGCATTCTGCCTGCCTGGCTACACTCTTGAACTGAACAGCAGAATTCATCCAATGGACATGCTGGATTCTATCACACTCTGCCTATCAAATCTCATCAGTGATCTACCATTCCCTCCCATCCTGGACCCTACCAGACTTTTCCAAGATCTTTCCCAGGATGGAGAAACTTATGTCTCCCCAGATGCTGATGAACTCAAACTCTCAACAGCCTCAGCCAAACATAGCCAAGAATGAGGGATGCTGGCAGCTTATAATTCAGCAGCTTCTAAAAAGAGACAGGTTCTCTGTGCCTACTTTTTCCCCAGATAAAAAACTAGGCATCCTGTTCCAAAGCGTCACCAGCGTTTCCTGGCATTCCTTTATGAAAAGGAAGCAGGCAAGGTGGTCCACCTCAGGCCAACCCTCCTTTAGGAACTGAGATTTACTTCAAATCGCATGAAACGGAAGGGAAGTCCATAATACCCACTGTGGCTTTTCTAACCTCCTACTGTCTCCATCTTCCTGCCCCAGACTTGGCTGTCCTCATACAACTGATTGCCTGGAGCAGGGTAGAATAGCTTTTATGCTTGCTGTTGCTTGTGGAGTTTGCTTTGTTCTGGGGATGGCTGAGCCTATAAAGATAAGGCTCCTAGTTCCTCTATTTTTTCCTGCTTGGCTTCCTCTTGGAACCTCTGCATGAAAACCATGGAACTCCTTTGACACAGTGCCCAGCAGGACTTCCTCTTCTGAACTGAATCTTTCTGGAGCATCTCTTGGCCCTGAACAGCATCTTGGACTGGTGTAATAAGCACAGTTTTGAAAAACCTGGTTTTTTACTGTGGGAGCATAAAAATGAAATCCTTCCCTTTTTGGCCAGGGCCAAGACCTTGGCTGAATTAATATCAGCTGATCAAGTGAAATTTGCCACAAATAGTATGGAATAACTTGGTAGTATTCACTGAAGGGAGCCACAGAGATGACCTTGGAGAAAGTATTCAGAAACTGTTCCAATAGCAGAAGGTGCTAAAACATGCTTTGAGCCAGGGAAACTATTAGAAAGAGTCTTAGTTTAGCTCCTCCTCTAATCCCTGAGCTATAAGAGGGAGGGAAGGGGAAAATGTGGTCAAGCTTGTAAGATTCTGTTACAATAGCCTATCTTAATATAGTCATCTTGAGGAGTCTGTTTCTTGATCTGGACCATCTTGAAGGGCTACCTATCCTCCAACACTTGTTAACTGTTGATTATATTTAATGTAGCAGAAGGGGGAAAATCCATTCATTCATTCATTCATTCATTCATTCATTCATTCATTCATTCATTCATTCATTTTTGTGCCTTC